TGTATGTCAACAAAGAACCAAGGGTGACTGGCAGGGAAACCAGCTACAGCTACATTAATGACCTTTGGTAGGCAGAGCTCTTCCCCAAAATGCTAAGTAGCGAGGATTTAAATATACCTGGAAATACATACCAAAGCAGCAACATCCCAACTCTCTAAGTAATGAACAAGAAAAATATTTGATTAGAAGAGTGACACAAGAGTGTGTACACAGAAAGCAAATCATCCACTAAGAGATTAAACTATTAAAACTTCAGTTTCCATGCAGGGTTCTTCTAGGCTTAAGGGTTCCTCAGAGGTACAGATGGGCTCCGAGAGGGTGAGGTTGCTGCAGGATAAGCATATGGACAGGATTCTTTTTCTGTTTGATATGTTGTATTACCCAAAAGATGATTTTAAAAAATCTTCATCCCTTGCATAAACTACAAAATAACTTAATTGTGTATTTAATATGTCCTCCAATTTAACTGAAAAGGACCTTGATTTAAAATGACATGCAAAACTTGAGAAATAAAAAGGAAGCTGAAACCAAAACAGAACCCAAATGCATTTTTAATTTGCCTCTTCAGCACAGCGTCATTAGGACACTTTGTTAGAAGTATTTGTGTGACTTTCTCCACAATTCAGCATTTGACTTGTGTTATTATGAAACTTATTTTGTTTTGTAGGATCATAACAGACAAATGGAGAGACCACTAGTGTGCAAAAGTGTCCTGTGTGAAATTATAAACTTTACATTTATGACAACAAAAATGAGTGATTAATATATTTGATATTATTTTACTAAAATTATAGAATTCAAACAGAAAATGGAAAGTGCTATCATGTCGTTCAGCTAAATTATGCTACCCTATAAGAGTCTGGATAGCACAAAAACAAAAAACAAAAAAAACATTTCACAAGTCATTGAAAAACAAAGGTTCATTCATTTAATAAATAGCTATTGGGCACCCCCATGTGAAAGCTTCATACAAGAAGGTATAGGTGTAAAATCTTTACAAAAGAAAATTTAGAATATAGGACATAATATCAAAGAATAAGGAAGATTCAAAACTTTTCAACTTCACTAGACAACTTAGAAGAGTACCCATGGCAAAAATTTTAAAGTACTCAAGGTTTGGTGAAAAGTTAGGAGCTAACTGGAAGGGCTAAAAACAATTTGAACAAAAAAACTCCTTGCACAAGAGTAGGAAAAAGGGATTGGCAGATTAAAAAAAATTTAGATGTCCAGAAGGAAGTATGACTAAATCTGAGATTACACTAAATATTTTTTCTCAAATAGGAAGAGTTTGAGAAACTAAAACATGCTAGAAAACTAAAGTACAGAGTCTTATCCATCTAACGCTAAAATGAACCATGAACAACATCTAATCCATAACCTTAATTTTTTTTTTTTTTGATGACCAGGGTGTGAACTTCAGTCTTCCTGCTTGCTAGACAGCACTCTATCATTTGAGCAACTCCACCAGACCTTTTTATGTGTGTGCTGGATATTTCTGAAATCTGGATTCGCTTTTTCTCCGGAGTTAACCTTGAACCATGATCCTCCTGATCTCTGTCTTCTAAGTAGTTAGGATTACAGGTGTGAGCCACTGGTGCCCAGCCATAACTTCAATTTTTTCAATAACTGAGGGTATCATGTGGGTCTGAGAAGTAGCAACTTCCCCAAGGTGATAATTTTATTATTTTTTGTTTATGGTTTCAAAATTGTATTAAATTCTGTATGTTCTCTATAGAAAATTAAATGTTCCATATTGGCTAAAATTTAAAAAAAAACAAAACACTGATCAGAGCCATTGGACAATTTTAGGCTTTAAGAGACAGAGAAATGAAGAAACAGAATACATACATATATACACAAGCACAGCATCACGCTAAATTGTACTAAACGCACTGTTCGAATAAACATTCAATACAATACTTACAATATTCAATAGATACGCAAATCAAAACCTTAGAAAATTATTGAGTGCAGGAAGCAGTCAAATGTTACTTTATAATTTTTGTATGTTGATACCTTTGAAAATAGTAAACATGCAAACACTGTGTGAATAAGCACACAGTAATGGTGGTAATAACAATAAAAAATTGAAAAGATCCTACACTGTCAAAGGTCTAGTAATGAAAGTACTTTTTTCTCATTATTTTGTATAAACACTCTCTATTTCCTTACACATATACAATAAAACATACTCACTGGATGATCTCTAACCTTTAAAACTTTATGGTGCTGTCCAAATTTTGTACATCTGTCAGTGTTTTCATTAGATTCTTTCCATGGCAACTATGTTTTGCTAAATTTCAAGCTTATTCCTTCTTTGCTTCAGAACAGAATCATGCACAAGCAGCACTGTGCAAGGCTTCTCAACCTAGTGCTGACACCGCCCTGCAGTGGAGTCACTGCGCCTTATCCCTTCTTCACTGTTCAGTGGAGGGAGTGGAATAAAAACTCCCGGTTGTGTGATCCTAGCGATTAAGTGCCTTTTTTGTTGTTCTACTGAGGTCTGAGCTCAGGATCTTGAACTTTCCAGGCAGGCACTCCATTACTTAGGCCATACCACCTGCCCTTTTTGTGTGGGTTATTTTGTTGTTGTTGTTTGATTATTCATATGTGCATACATGGTTGGGTCATTTCTCCCCCCTGCTCCCACCCCCTCCCTTACCACCCACTCCACCCCCTCCCTCTCCCCCCCACCCCCTCAATACCCGGCAGAAACTATTCTGCCCTTATCTCTAATTTTGTTGAAGAGAGAGTATAAGCAATAATAGGAAGGAACAAGTGTTTTTTGCTAGTTGAGATAGGGTCTTGCTTTATGTCCCAGCAAGAATGGACTACAATCCTCCTACTAGTGCTTCCCAAGTAACTGGGATGACAGTTCGCTGCTGCACCCAGTCATTGGTTGACATGGGGTCTTAGCAACTTTTTGCCCAGGCTGGCCTTGAACCATGATACTCCCAATCTCTGCCTCCCAAGTAGCTAGGATTACAGGCATGAGCTACCATGCCTGGCCTAAGTTGTCTTTCTTATGGAATTCGCAGAAGCATTCATTAAGCATCTCTTACATAAACAGAAGGACTGATATACAAGGTCAATATTCACTTAAGTGGACTGAGGAAATACTAGGACTGATTAGCAAAGACCCACTGCCAATATAAAAAGGGAAATCCTGTGGGAGAAAAAAATTCAGTAAATAGGTTAATAGAAAACAAACTTACCTTTAAAAACTAGCGAGGGAAACATAAGTAGGTCTCAGTTTGGAGTAACAGGAACTAAGTAAGGGCTAAATGCAAAATTTTCTACCTATGTGTTTTCAATTTGTGTTTGGGTCTGGATTTGTAGCCGATTCACATAAAAGAGATAAGAGAGATAGATGGTTCCTAATAATTTAGTTTGTTTTGAATACTAACTATAAGAATTATTTCCTAGCACCTTGAAATACCTTTAAAATTTCTCATCAAAATTAATGACAAATGAAGTAAATTTTTATAAATCATTTTTAGCTCACTTGAGAAAACGGTGCTAAATTAGTAATTGGAAATATTGCTGTCATTCTGTAACTCATTGATGGGAAAGAGAGACTACTTCCTTAACTACACTTAAAAGAAGAAACACTTAAGTAAATTACTTTCAAGTCCATCCTCTCTCCCTTCCCTCCTTTCTTCCTTTCTTTCTGGTGCTGAGGATTGAACCTAGGACCTCATGCATGCTAGGCAAGCACTCCAGAACTTGAGCCACACCTCAGCTCTTTTGTTTATATTCTGCTTTTGAGACAGGGTCTGGCTGCTACCTTTACCCAGATTGGTTTAGAATCATAATCCTCCTGAGTAGCTGGGATTATATGCCTGTTTCATCACACCCTGCTTAATTTTCTTAAAGTGCAATACACTCGAAGCCAACTGACCATTCACTCAAAAGATTCATTTCAGACCTTTTCTATGTAAACTATTATAGTCAGAGCTATGGTATGCAAACAAGGCTGCTGACTAGGTGTGGTCCTGAATCACATGAAAAAGAAAATACAAAAGATATGGTTTCCTATTTGAAAAATCAATTTAGTACCTTTGTGAAAGATCTATCAATATACATATACCAATATTTGTTTTTAGGATTACAAAAGAGTTAATACCACTATGAGTCTCAACAGAGACTCACAACTACTTTCAGCATGCATTATTATTTCACGATAACATGATTAAGTGATATATACTTAAACATTGAAAACATTCAAAGCAATTTATTCAATGTTCCTAAAAGAATAAGAAGATATTTCTTTGAATTGGGCAGTTATATTTTGGGTTCTACTTCATTTCTACTGCCAACCTTCTGCTTCTAGTGTTAACCTGATATGTCATGTATCACATTTGGATTAATGTAAAGCATTTCATTAACGTTCACATTATGTATCTTTACATTAAAGACCCATGTGGCTTACGATGATGAAAGCTGAAACATTAAACAGTAATTACCTGATGCTCTGAGATGCATCAGAATAATCCAAGGTAGATGCGTAAGTGCAAACTACCAAACCCTACTCCTAGAGTATCACTTCTACAATTAAGCTGGCACTCGAGAACTTGTGTCTTTAGATAGAAAACATTTGGAGAAACACTAGTGTCCAGAATTCTCATCAACGTAGAAGTAGAGTTCCTAATTTCCCTTTTACTTGTGTCATTTTCAAAAATGACAGAACTATTGTCATTTGCTCCCATTTTTTTACAGTCAAAGTGTATGCTGACCTCTGCAGTACATGTTCTTCAACTATATGTACCCTGGTTTGTGTCCACTTCCCATTAGGTAAGTAGATAAATGATCCACCCACTCATTTACTTCATACATATTAAAGCAGACATTTTCTGCCTTCAAATCAGAAAATAGTTTGTTTTCACATCTGAGAAATACTCTGAAATTGTGTCAAAAAAGTCAGAAGAAGAAAGATACCATTGAAAGAAATTGCCTGCAAACTTTCCTAGGATTTCAAGTCACTAACTGAGTTAGCTTACCTGCCATCCCGCTGAGCAGCACCGCCATCTGTTACTGTCTTGACAAATATCCCCAGCTTCTCAAGTCCAGCATCTGCTCCTACACCCATTCCAATAATACTTATGCCAAGACCATCCTCATCTATGAAAAAGAAAAAAATAATGGAACAGTCTAGGTTTCACACTGGCTTAATTACCTAGCGAGGTCTATTTGCTGCTTCTAAGTTTGTTCTTCTTTGTGGATAGGACAAATGATATTCTTGCCTCAACAGAGTTTTTTTTCTAAGCTGAGGAGTTGGGTTATCAAATAAGATTTCTCCAAGGGCTCATAAGTTTTGTTCTGTTCTACATCAGTTGGGAACTCATTGTGGTCCCAGGAAAGGTAAGAATTTGGTAGCTGAATAATCAATCTACCTTAAACCACAGATGCTCTAAGTAATCCTGTGAATTCTTTTAGACACAAACTCACACACACTCGAACACATTTACAACTTTCAATAAATATAACCCACAAAATATCTGGATTTCTCCCTTGTTCATGTGGTCATCTTTTCTTTTTTTTTTTTTTACTTTTCCATTCATTTTAATAACGTAGCTGAGGATATTGATCATGGTAAAGTTCACACAAGCATGAGAGAGACCTGGGTTCGATCCCCAGAACCATAAAAAGAAAAGAGTATTTTCCTCTGTGTTACTACACAAACATATATACTTATCAATAGCTGCAATACACAAACATATATGCATGACACATATACATATAACACAAGCACACACACATATGACTTATTTCTCCTTCCTTTACACAAATGAAATATCTATTTCTCTCTGCAGTTTGCTTCTTAAAATTCAGTGATACCTCCTGGATATCAATTTACATAGCTCTAAATCGTTTCTAATGAGGAAATGATGAAGTGATGGTGAAATTATACAGCATACTAACCTTTGTTTCAATTTTATTGGACCTGTAAGCAATACTGAAAGTTTTAAAATTGACTTTAAAGCCATGTGTTTAATATTTCCATTTGTCTTTCCCATTGACATATATAGTTTCCATTTATAGAACACCAATAAAATAAAAGATACACTATTTCGTGTACTGCATTTTTTGTTAACATTCAAGGTTATTTTCTGATAATTTCAAAGTCTTTGTAATCATAGTTTATCAGCAGCATAAACAAACAGATACAAGCTAATCAACAGTGAATGCAAAACTCATCCATATACTCAACAAAATGTTTGATGCTTTGAAAAGACTTTCCAGCAATAACCTTTAGAAAGTATTCATAATGAAAACCCCTGTGAGGAAGACTATTCTCACCGATTACCACTTCACTGTCTTGTGCCTTATATACAACTAACACAATCCTACATATGTTCAAAAATATGTCATTTGGTCAAAAGGTGTATGTTTGCTCAGCTGCATACTACAGGAATCTTTAGTGTTTCCCCAGGATGTTTTTTGATAGGAACCTCAGCTGAAGCTCCCCCACAACACCCCTATTGATCTAGACCTAGGAACTTCTCTGATGTGAGAGCTTTATTGCTGACTAATGTATGAGTGACCACCAAAGACTCTTCTTACTTATTGTATTTAGAATGTTTGTGTACAAGTGATTTCTCAGTTAGGTCATTGAAATTGCTTCTTTGGTACAAATACTCTGAAGTTAATCAGGAGGATTTCTCGTTCCAAAGATTTTGCTGCGTTCAGTTCTAGGGTTTCTCCCAGAACGAGTGTCCTTGTGCACATGAAGGTTGAATGTGTGCAAGCTCTTCCACAATGCTTATGTGTACAGAGTTTCTTCACTCCACATGAATTCTCTCCTGTGCATCAAGGTTCACTGATGACTGAATCCTTGTGCACATTCATAGAGTTTGTCTGCAGAGTCTGTTCCTACAAATGAGGGATGAATAATTACTGAAAGACTGTTTACATCCATGTAAGTTCCCTAAGAGGCAATCACTGGAGACTCCTTCACACTGAAGAATGCCATGGGGTTTCTCTCCTGTATGAAATCTCTGGGATATTAGCAGCCTGCTTCAACACTTCCTCACATTCACTATCCTTGCCTGGTTTCTCTTCATTATGAATAATCACCTACAAAACCAAGATTGTGCAATGAGTTAACCTTGCCCATTCTCACGACATTCCTCTTAAGTGGGAAATTTCTGGACTGTCATTAAGTTCCTAAAACTATCCTGTGTTTTACTTCTGGTTTTTAAGTTCATTTTCCCTGCCTTGATTCAGGCACTGTTAAATCTTTTCCATAATTCTTTTTGTTGCTCTAGAAAACTCACTCAGATTTTCTGAGCTGAAAACCTGGTTGTGAAAAGGTAGGATTCACACGAGCCATCCTGACTTCTGGTACAGATGACCTACCAGGAGAAGGGTCAACTGAAGGGCAAAACAAGGAAGAGCACATCAGCCTGCACAGACCAGAAAGTCGATGCTCTCAAATAGCTCATCTCTTCTCCGTTCAAGAACAGGTGAGGTTGAGAACCACATCCTCGAAGGCTTCTGTCTCCTACAGCTGCCCTGTCAAGAGCAGTGCCTCATCCTCCTCTGTATACAGAGTTTTCTCTCATTTTATATGATATAAATGATATAAACAGTCTGAATAACACTAGTTTTATGTGCTCTTTAAAGGTATAAAGAACCATCTTGTTCTGATTAGCTTCTATTTTTACTTAATATTTTTTGTTGGGACTGGGGTTTAAACTCAGGGCTTTACACTTGCAGAGCAGGCATTTTATTACTTGAGCCACACTTTCAGTCCATTTTGCTGTAGTTATTTTAAAGATGGGGTCTCGAGAACTATTTGCCCAGGCTGGCCTTGAACTGTGATCTCAGCCTCCTCTATAGTTAGGATTATACATTAGTCACCAGCCTGACTTGGATTAGTTTTTAGTGCTTTATTTGTAGTCATCACTCTTATTTCTTCTATGACAATTATTCTATTTTACTTGAATTGATTTTAATAACTCATATTTTGATCTCTAGGAAGTAATAAATTATTGTCAAAAAATTCCAGTGACTGACTCCTCTCATACTACATATTTGTCTTCACTTACTTTCTAGTCCTAATTTGTCTTTATTTGCTTTCAGTTTTCTTCAGTAAAGTGTTAATATATTTTATGGATCTATTCATCAAAAAAATTTGCACTAACACATATTACTATTTTTCTTTTCCGTGACTCTCAAGATACTGGGGACTGAACCCAGGGCCTCAAGCTTGTGAGGCAAACACTCTACCACTTGAGTTATGTCCCTTTGTTTTTATCTGTTTTTCAAGACAGGGTCTTGCTAACTGTGCCTGGGCTGGCCTCTGACTCGAGACTCTCCCGCCTCTGCCTCCTGAGTGGCTGGGATCACAGCATAGGCCACCATCTTCAACCATGCACACCATTTATAGCGTTCGCCTCTATTTTCCTCACCTTTGCTGCTTTGAACAAGCTGCTCTGTTTCTTTTCTTCCCCACTAACTGGGAAGTTACATTGCTCAGCTAAAGTATGAGGCAATGTGCTCTTTAAGTCTTTATATATCAGCAAATTTCTTCCCCCAGGAGAGGTAAACGCTGAGACGAACATGGGATTCTTAGATAACCAGTTGTTTTCTTCGTGGTGGCCTATGGAATTACACCTACAGCTCCCTGCTTCTTGTGTTGCAAATTAAGTCTGACTAACTAGTGTAATTAGTTGGGCCTTTCCAATACCTTTGCTTGTTCATTTGCTACAGGGTTTTATGGCCTAGTATTTTGTAAGATTTTCACTTTATCCTTGGCCCACAGGATTTTCCCAGCCAAATATAGAATGAATTTGGATTCTTTTTTTTTTTTTTTACATTCTCACAACTAAATAAGTTTTTTCTAACATGAGGCTCAAGAAAGATCTTTTGTCAGCTCAAGAAAAATTTTCTTCTGTTATTAATGTTTATTTTTTCTTCTTTCACTGTATTTTCCTCTTCTGTTGCCTACAATTTTATATGTTGGTGCTCCTTCATGACTTGGATGTATTCTCTGTCACTTGAGGATTAGTTTGGGACTTTTCTGACACTTGATCTCCTAGATCACTAATTTGAGTCCCAACAATAGTCATCTTTTCACTAAATTAAATTTCAATAATAAAATCTATTATTTGAAAATCAAGAAATCTGTTGTTGCTAATTTGCTTGTGAATGTCTTTTTAAAGCCACACATGACTCTCTGTGAGTGAGTTTTCGTTTTGGTTATTGAAGCTATCATTTGTTTGCTCTGCCTTTTTCCCAAAGCCCTCTCAAGGTATTATTTTCCCATTCACTGGCCATGTTCCAGTTCCTAAGTGCCGATTCTTACATGGGGATAGACATAGCAGGTGTTTACCTCTGTGTGTTTATCTCTGGTTCATAGGACACAGTTACTGCAGCAGAGAGGTCATCATTCCAAGGAGAAAAACCAGGACAAAGCCCCTCTGCTGCCTCTTCTTCTTGCTCCCTTTCACCTTCTACCTCAGAAATAGAGAGGTTGTAGCCCCACTATGTAAATCTTCCTGGATTCCACTGCTCTCAATCTAAATCTCCATAATTTTCTAAAGGCATTTCTCATATCTACCACATCTGGAGCCTAACCATGAGTACTTTTCTTCCACAAAAAACAACACAAAACAAAAAACCAACCACCTTTGGCAACCAGTTTTCTCTGGTCTCTGTCTTTTCCAGGGATACATCAACAAAGCCTTAGGCCTCACTCACATCTTCCACATCTTAACCACCATCCCAGCCAGCTGAAGTAGATGGGTTTGAGTTGGGAGCAGGCAGGATGAAGGAGTAGTTCAATCTACCATCCACCCAGAATCCCATCAACTATTTTGAAACTTAATAGACCCTTTGTGAGAACTAAAACTTTATCTAATTCTTAGAAAAAGGCTACACTCTGGAAAAATAATGCTGTATTACTAACATAGCCAATAATGATGTGGCAAGCATCGGAGCATTCATGTACCTTTCTCTAGTTCCACTGGGAAAAGCTCCAGCTTTTCTACACGCTTTTCAAGTTCATACTCAGCAGATGCGGCCACAGGGTCAACTTCATCATTTCTCCTGTCATAGTCTTCATTGGAGTATGTGTTGAAAACCTGCAGTAAGAGGCCAAGAACAAAATGACTACACAGAAAAGATGGCTTAACTTAAAAAAAAAAAGTCTACTGGGTACCCAAAGCTACATAACTTTAAAATATCACTATGATGAATTACTTATAAACAACCATTTTATCTTTAAAATTAATTGAGATGTTAGGGAAAGGAAAATGGAATCAGAATAAAAATAACTTACTAATTTAAAAATATATGAGCATCTTATCAATTATAATAATTAAAGAGACATTAGCCACAGAACGGATTATTTGACTAGCAATATTCATCACCTTTTATATAAGCCAAATATATCATATTAAGAACAATGCAGTGTGTTTCCAGATGAACCAAGGTAAAGCATATTGAAGTCACGTAAGCAAACACCCACACTGAGTATGAACACTGCTAGCCTCAGTGGTGTAGTAAGTCAACTCTACAATCATACATTAATCACTGAAGTTGATTTCCATCCTCTGCTGTCCTGGGCTATGGTAAACTGCTCTCATCTGTCATCTCACATTTACTTGTATAAAGATTTAAATTAAATTTTCACTAGCCCTCTCTTTGAAATGACTACAAAAATATTGTCCAAAAGCTGTAGAACAAATAGAATATTGACAGCTTTCTGGCAAAAATCACTCAAAAGTCTAAAAAACATGTGACCTTCCTTTACAGCCAAAAGAAACTTGATTGTCCTTATTTCAGCTAAAATATCTGTTTGAAAAGGAACTGAAGTAGTTATCAAATTACGCTCTTACCAGGCATGGTAGCTCATGCTTGTAATCTCAGCTATTCAGTAGGTGGAGATGGAAGTATCAAAGTTCAAGTCCAGCCTGGGCAAAAAGTTAGTGAGGCCTCTTCTCAACAAATAGGCCAAGCAAGCAAGAGGGTTTACACATGAAATTCAGCTGTACAGGAGGCATAGAAAGAAAGACCATAGTCCAAGGCTGGCCGGCCCCAGGTGAGATACTATCTGAAAAATAACTAAAGTAAAAAAGGACTGGGGCCTGGCTCAATGGCTCAGGAGAACTCAGGAGGCCTGGAGTTCAATCCTCAGTACACAACAACAAAATTAACAGCTATAAAAAAAAATAGAAAACTGAACAGATGTTTGAAGATGAGAGAAGTCATATTTTACCACCTTCAAAGTTGGGCCTAGTACTGCAGAAAAATTTAAGATAGACATTATAGGAAAACAGGCAATTCTTATATTTTATATATGGTAATCTATAAACCAAGAATATATACTGTCTCTATCAAAGCAGAAGTAGTGTGATTCTTAACGACACGTACGTCTCAAAATTATGTCCTTCACAGAGGGTTTGTACTTGAGTGATACTGACTTGTAGCCTTTTTTATAGCCCTCTGCCACTTGGACCCTCGCTTAGTCTCTACCATGTTCCTTCACGGTAGTAAATGTTAATTCATCAAAATGCAATTTCTATACTGTGGAATTTGTACTTTTAAAAAAGCTTCTCAGAAAACACGCTTCCTATGTCCCTCCCATTGAATCCTCTAATTAGTTGCATGACTTTCTTTCAGCCCCTTTGATCTTTCACTTCCCTTAATTTTTTTTTTGAATAATCACTTATTCACACGTACTAACTCAACAAAAGTTTCCAGAGTACCAACTCTTGTTAACCATTGTACTAGACATTGAAGAAGGCACTGCCTCAAGTTACTAACAGCTTAGGAGGGATACAGAAATCAAAATAAGCAACTTTAGTGTAAAATGATAACTAATTAATAGGAATATACCAACTAATTTTTCCTTGTTTGCCTGAGAAAAGAATTTTGTGAAAGGGAGGAAGTTTGAGCAGAATCTCAGAGAACAAATAGGGATTCACATATTCAGGTATAGAAGAGGAAGAATATATATTTCAAATGTACGAGCTCCCTCATGCACAGGCACAGATAGGTAGACGGATAGACAGTGTTTTTTGAAAACACTGATAGTTGAGTGGACCACAATGCAACATTCCTAGGGGAGTAGCTTCAACAATACCCACACCTCACCTGAATCTGGGTCTGGTCCTTACATGTCCACTGCCATGTGTAACTGGAAATGATTCCAGTAAACGCTGCCCATCTACCTCTGCTAAGAGGTCCAAATATATGACTGGAGCACAAAGGTTTGAAGGGTATTCATTCTGACGCACAGCTCAAATTCACTAGAACTTAGTTAGGTAAATGTGTGAATATGTATGTGTGCACATGCATGCATGTGTGTGTGTATGTTTGAGTGTGTATAAAGTAAGTAAGGGAGAACTGCTTTAAATAAAATAATACCTCCCTAACTTTTGTTCAAGATTTTAAACACCATTACCAAAATATTCTCCCCTAATTAGGCTAGTTTATAATGCTCAATCACAAATATTCTGAGGTTAAACTTAAAAAAACTATAAGACTACATATTACAAAATGATAATTTTTGAAACATCTAGCAATCAAGCAACTATACCAACATTTCATTCTGTAGAAAAAAACTGATGTAAGATACTTGTCTTCTTTACTTTGTTTATAGTCTGATAAGTTACAGTGGCATGGAGGGGAAAAAAGTTACAAATAATTTTTTTAAAAAAGGGTGGAGGAGGCTGAATGTGGTGGAAATGTTATGTACACATGCATGAAAATGGAAAATTAGACCTGCTGAAACTGTTCCAGGAATGGGGGGAGAATGATGGAGGGGGTGAATTCAGCTATGGTACACTGTAAGAACTTTTGTAAATGTCACAGTGTACCCCCTGTACAACAATAATATAATTAAAAACGAAAACAATTTTAAAAAATAATTGAAAAAGAAAAGTCAGAATTCATTATTTGCAGATTAAAATAGTATTTACTTGGAAAATATGAGAAATTCAACAGAAAAATTATTAAAACTGATTAGCACTCAACAAAGCAATGTTAATTTTTAAAAATCAGCATACAAAAGTCAATAGAGTTAGAAAATACAACATAAAATGAGAAACTATAAAATACACAGCAATTACTACCTATAAATATTTAAGGATTTCCTTCTATATAAAACTTAATGAGAAAATAAAAACTCCTAAATGAGTAAAAACCCATATTTTTTTCTGGATTAAAATCTTTAACTTAAAATAGTAAAACATCCATTTTCTCAAATTACTATAAGTTTACCTTAATTTATAAATTCAAGGCGATCAAAATTAAAATCCCACCATTTTCATGGAAACTAATAAGCTGTTTGGACAAGCACAGAAAAAATTGAAACAAGCCTACTGCATATCAAGACAAGAAATAAAAACTTCATTAACTAAAGCAGTGAAGTTTGAGCCCCAGGGTAGATTTATTTTTATGGCCTGTTCTATTTCACTACTCTATTCAAATTAGTTACAGTGGTCTGTTTAAAAAACAGTATGGAAAGAGCTAGCTATCCATCTGAAGAATATTCTTGCTTCATCTCACTAACAAAAGTAGCATTCAGATTGGCTAGGAACAAAAATCTATGCATTCATACCTCAGCATCTGTGGGTGGTTGGTTCAAGGACCTTCCACTCCCCATGATACAAAATCTGCAGAAGTTCAAGTCCCTCATGTAAAACAGTGTAGTGTTTGTATACGGCATATATACGTCCTTCCACATGCTTTAAGTCATTTCTAGAATAATTATAATACCCAATACAATGTGAATGCTGCACAAATAATTGTTATTTATGTTTAGGTAATAATGATAAGAAAATGGTCTGCATGTGTTCAGTACAGACTTTTTATCTGAATATCTCCAATCTGTAGTCAGTTGAATCCATAGATACAGAAACCACAGGTACATTAGACTGTATATATTGTAAAAGTAGAAAAAAGAAACAGAATTCAACAAGGAAATGCTAATGTCCAGAAAATGACATAAAGATATTCAACTTCATTAAAAAATAAGCAGATGCAAATTAAGATAAGGCGATACCATGTATTCATCCATAAGATGGTTTTAAAAATACTGTAAATGTCCAGTGAAGTATAATGGGAGGTGATGGTGGGGTGAGAACACTTGCCTAGCATATGTGACACTCTGGGTTCAATCCCAGTACTGCCAAAAAAAAATTTTAAGTATAATTTGAAAATAGCAATCAATATTTAAGTGACATGTAAATGACTTTGAATTAATGTTATATCAAAGATTTGTAGAAATACTTGTAAACGTGCACAGAGATTGGGAGCACATTACAGATGTACTCCCAATTTGTCTATGCCCTACCCCCACAACTGGTATAGTAACAATGTTAGTATGATTTAAAGACTCCTAAACTCAGCTACATAACTTTTGCTAAATCATAAAACCAAGGTAAGCCTCAGTTTCCTTATTTACAAAATGGCTATTATAATAATATTTATGCCATAAGGTTGTGAAAATGAAATGGGGTCATCCATGTAATTGCATTTGGTTCAGTGTGGAGAAAGCTTTCTAGTACGATTAGAATGATAGCATTTCCCTAGATACCATAACTCAGACTGCCCTTTACAAACAGGTTTTTAATATTTTATCCACTAATATTTTATCCACTTAATACCTTTAAGCAAAAAAAAAATCTGCATAGCTAGCTTAATATTTGAATGTAGACTGGCTTGTCAAAATCCTACCTGTGTCCAAAAATGTATTATCATTACACAAAGGCTCATCACCTGCCACAATTTCTACTCTGGACCAGGAAGACCCTCAGAGATGAGAGGAAGGTTGATGTAAACACCTTTCCCTTTTACCTATATCATCTTGCTTCTTTCTGTTTTCTTATGATAATTCCACAATTTATACTTATATCACCCTAACTGCTCTACAAAAATATAGATAAATAATCAAATAATAACCACAGCCTCATCAACACCCAAGACCAACAGCATCCAAACCCCAATAATCAACACCATCAAGATATATGTATTTTTTATTTGCCAACTATACATCAGACAAAGGACTGATAACCAGAATATACAGGGAACTTAAAAAACTAAATTCTCCCAAAACTAATGAACCAATAAAGAAATG